GTATCTCAAAGTAATAAGAGCTATTTATGACAAACCAACAGCCAACATCATACTTAATGGGCAAAAACTGGAAGCATTCCCTTTGAAATCCGGCACTAGACAAGGATGCCCTCTTTCACCAATCCTATTCAATATAGTACTGGAAGTTCTAGCCAGAGCAATCAGGCAAGAAAAAGAAATAAAGGGTATTCAAATAGGAAAGGTGGAAGTCAAATTGTCTCTATTTGCAGACCACATGAGAGTATACCTAGAAGACCCCATCGCCTCAGCCCAAAAACTCCTGAAACTGATAAGCAACTTCAGCAAAGTCTCAGGATATAAAATCAATGTGCAAAAATCACAAGCCTTCCTCTACACCAATCACAGACTTAAAGAAAGCCAAATCAAGAATGAACTGCCATTCACAATTGCTACAAAAAGAATAAAATACCTTGGAATACAACTCACAAGGAACGTAAGGGACCTCTTCAAGGAAAACTACAAACCACGGCTCAACGAACTCAGAGAGGACACAAACAGATGGAGAAACATTCCATGTTCATGATTAGGAAGAATTAATATCATGAAAATGGCTATACTGCCCAAAGTAATTTACAGAATCAATGCTATCCCCATCAAGCTACCATTGAGTTTCTTCACAGAACTGGAAAAAACCACCATGAACTTCATATGGAACCAAAAGAGAGCCCGCATAGCCAAGTCTATTCTAAGCAAAAAGAACACAGCGGGGGGCATCACACTACCGGATTTCAAACTATACTACAAGACTACAGTAATCAAAACAGCATGGTACTGGTATCAAAACAGAGATATAGACCAATGGAACAGAACAGAGGCATCAGAGGCAACACAACATATCTACAACCATACAATCTTTGATAAACCTGACAAAAACAAGCAATGGGGAAAGGATTCCCTGTTCAACAAATGGTGTTGGGAAAACTGGCTAGCCACGTGTAGAAAGCAGAAACTGGACCCCTTCCTGACACCTTACACTAAAATTAACTCCAGATGGATTAAAGGCTTAAATATAAGACCTGGCACCATAAAAACCCTAGAGGAAAATCTAGGCAAAACCATTCAGGACATAGGAGCAGGCAAGGAATTCATGAACAAAACACCAAAAGCATTGGCAACAAAAGCCAAAATAGACAAATGGGACCTAATGTAACTCCACAGCTTCTGCACGGCAAAAGAAACAGTCACTAGAGTGAATCGGCAACCAACAGAATGGGAAAAAAAGGTTGCAGTTTACCCATCTGACAAAGGGCTGATATCCAGAATTTACAAGGAATTCAAACAAATTTACAGGAAAAAAACAAACAAGCTCATTCAAAAATGGGCAAAGGATATGAACAGACACTTTACAAAAGAAGACATACAAGAGGCCAACAAACATATGAAAAAATGCTCATCATCACTGGTCATTAGAAAGATGCAAATCAAGGGCCGGGCGAGGTGGCTCAAGCCTGTAATCCCAGCACTTTGGGAGGCCGAGGCGGGTGGATCACGAGGTCAAGAGATCGAGACCATCCTGGTCAACATGGTGAAACCCCGTCTCTACTAAAAATACAAAAAAAATTAGCGGGGCATGGTGGCGCGTGCCTGTAGTCCCAGCTACTTGGGAGGCTGAGGCAGGAGAATTGCCTGAACCCGGGAGGCGGAGGTAGCAGTGAGCCGAGATTGCGCCATTGCACTCCAGCCTGGGTAAAGAGAGTGAAACTCCGACTCAAAAAAAAAAAAAAAAAAAAAAAAGATGCAAATCAAAACCACATTGAGATACCATCTCATGCCAGTTAGAATGACGATCATTAAAAAATCTGGAGACAACAGATGCTGCAGAAGATGTCGAGAAATAGGAACACTTTTACACTGTTGGTGGGAGTGTAAACTAGTTTGAACATTGTGGAAGACAGTGTGGCGATTCCTCACGGCCTTAGAAATAGAAATTCCAATTGCCCCAGCAATCCCATTACTGGGTATAGATCCAAAGGACTATAAATCGTTCTACTATAAGGACACATGCACACGAATGTTCATTGCAGCACTGTTTACAATAGCAAAGACCTGGAACCAACCCAAATGCCCATTGATGATAGACTGGATTGGGAAAATGTGGCACATATACACCATGGAATATTATGCAGCAATCAAAAATCATGAGTTCGTGTCACCTGTAGGGACATGGATGAATCTGGAGAACATCATTCTCAGCAAACTGACACAAGAACAGAAAATGAAATACCGCATATTCTCACTCATAGGTGGGTGATGAAAAATGAGAGCACATGGACACAGGGAAGGGAGTACCAAACACTGGAGTCTATTGGGGGGAAGAGGGGAGGGACAGTGGGGCGGGGAAGCTGGGGAGGGATAGCCTGGGGAGAAATGCCAAATGTGGGTGAAGGGGAGGAAGGCAGCAAAACACACTGCCATGTGTGTACCTATGCAAATGTCTTGCATGTTCCGCACATGTACCCCAAAACCTAAAATGCAATTTAAAAAAAAATCAGTTGTCCCAATGACAAAGCCACTTCAAATGCAAAGTTTCATTCAATCTTAAAGCAAATCTAAGATCATAATAACATGTAGTGCTCATTTTTCATATGAGCTAAATGACTTGCCTAGGATTATACAACTAGTAAGAGAAGACTTAAGACTTAGATTTAAATATTATTTCATTAATACCACAGGAGTTTCATAAGACTTTAGCAGCTTTTCAAAACACGATAAAATATTGGGAAGATCCCCCAAAAAAAAAACAAAATAAATAAAGTAGCATAAAATACTTAGAAATAATCTTAACCAAGAAGGCAAAGCACTTGTGCTATAAAAACTATAAAACACTGATAAAGGAAACCAAAGAAGACACAGATCAATGGAAATACATCTCATGTTTATGGACTGGTAGAGTTAATATAGTTGAAATGCAATCTAATAATTCAGTGTGATCCCTACCATAATCCCAATATTACTTTTTGAAGAAAGAAAAAAAATTCTAAAATTCATATGGAATATTACAAAATCCCTACTTCCAAAATAACCTTGAAAAAGAACAAAGTTGGATGCCTCACACTTCCTGATTTCAAAGTATGTTCCAAAGCTACAGTAATTGAAACAGTGCAGTGCTGGCATAAAGACAGAGATAGAGACCAATGTAAGAGGATAGAGAGTACAGTAATAAACCCTCACCCATATGGTCAAATAATCTCCAAAATGTGCCAAGACCACACAATGGGGAAAGAACAATCTCTTTAATAAATGGTGCTAGAAATACTGAATATCCACAGGCAAAAGAATCAGGTTGAATCCTTACCCAACATCATATACAGAAATTAACTCAAAATGTTTTAAAGACCTAAACAAAGGACTAAAACTAAAATTCCTGGAAAAAACATAAGCAAAAAGATTCATGACATTGAAATTGTCAATGTATTGGATATGAAATCAAAACCACGGGGAGCAAAAGCAAAAAAAAAAAAAAAACAGAAAAATGGAACTCCATCAAACTAAAAAATTTCTACAAAGCAAAAGAAACAATGAACTAAGGAAAAGACAGCCTATGAAATGAAAGAAAATACATGCAAATCATATATCTGGTAAGGAGTTAATATCAAGAATATATAAGGAATGCCTCTAACTCAACAACAATAAAACAAATGACCCAGTTAAAAAGTGGGCACAGGACTTGAATAGACATTTCTCCAAAGAAGATATACACACTATCAACAGTACATTTAAAATGTTTCTCAGCTGGGTGTGGTGGCTCACACCTCTAATCCCAGCACTTTGGGAGACCAAAGCACATGGATCACAAGGTCAGGAGTTCAAGACCAGCCTGGCCAAGATGGTGAAACCCTGTCTCTACTAAAATACAAAAATTAGCTGGGCATGGTGGCAGGCACCTGTAATCCCAGCTACTCAGGAGCCTGAGGCAGAGAATTGCTTGAACCTGGGAGGTGGAGGTTGCAGTGAGCCAAGATCACTGCCACTGCACTTCAGCCTGGGTGACAGAGCAAGATTCCGTCTCAAAAAAAAAAAAAATGTTGCTCAACATTACTGATTATTAAAGGAATACAAATCAAAATTACAATGAGATATTACCTCATCCATTAGGATTGCCACTATTCAAAAAGCAAAAACAAAATAACAAGTGTTGACAAGAATGTCAAGTGAGACCCTTGGGTACTCTTGCTGGTGATATTAAATGGCACAGTCAGTATCAAAATAGTATGAAGGTTCCTCAAACAATTAAAAATAGAACTACCATGTGATCCAGAAATCCAATTTATGGGTGGGTATATATCCAAAGAATTGAAAACAGGAGCTGCAAAAGATTATTTGCACACCCACATTTATGGCAGAATTATTCACAATAGCCACAGAGTGGCAGCAACCTAAATGACAATTAACAGGTAAATGAATGGAAGTGTGGCATCTTAATGAATTCTCACCACAAAAAAGGAGAAAAAGAAGGTTAAATATATGAGGTATGGATATATTAATTAGCTTGATTGTGGTAACCATTTCACAATATATATGTATATCAAATCATCACAGTGTACACCTTAAATAAAACAAAGAAACAAAAAGAAAGTGTGAGATGCACATACAATGGAATGTTATTCAGCCCTGGAGTGAAAGAAAGTCCTGTCATATACTAGAACATGGATGAATCTTGAGGAAATTATACTAAATAGAATAGGTTATTAAAAATGATACATACTGTATAATTTCACTTATATAAAGTGTTTAAAATAGTCTCATAGAAACAAAAGTAGAGAAGTGATTCACAGGGCTTTCAGGAATGGGGAAATGGATAATTGCTGTTCAATGGGTGGAGCGTTTCGTTTTGCAAGATGAAAAAGTTCTAGAGATCTGTTACACAGCAATGTGAAAATAGTAAACACTACTGAACTGTACACTTCAAAATGGTTATGAGAGTAAGTTTTATGTTATGTTTTTTCTGCAATTAAATAATTTTAAAATGAAAACAGTACCTGTTCTGCTTCCGTGTTAATCACAAGCAAATGCGCTCCCATCTCAGCACAGTTCTGCTCACTCTTAGACCAAAACTTCTCTTTACTAGAAATGAAATAGCAACTGGAACCAAATGACTTCCAAGAAGCTGGGCAACATCCCCAGGCTATTTTTGTGTTACATGAAAAAAAAAGTGAATGCAAGATGAGATAAATAAGATTAATGATCTGTGGTTGCTTTCTACAGACAGTTTCTTAATTTATGTTTTTACTGTTTCCTGAATTATATAATTTGGGGACCCAGAATTGATTTCAAATAAACATTCTTTAGCATTAAGTCCTCAGTATGTATTAAAGTTACCTGCAGAATTTCTCTGGATTTTCTTCAAAAAAAATTACGATTGAGTTTTGTTTTTCATGTCCCTTATGCATTGTGAGCACCAAGTCCTCCTAGAGTTTTAAATGACTAACACAGATGAACCTAGAAATCCAGTTCTGCTCAGTAATCTTGCACAAGCCACAGGGCCTTAGGTTTTTAAAATGATAACTCACAGGTTAGTTATGAGAATTAGAATTATGCCTCTTTAGAATTCTGGCTCCTCCATTTATCAGGTATGTCTTTGAGCAAATTTGTAACCTCCTTGAGCCTCAATTATTGCATCTCCAAAATGGAGATAATAATAGAGCCAATCTCACAGGGGGATTTAATCACATAATAAGTATAAAGCATTTTTAAAAAATGCTTAACATAGAATAATTGCTCAATAAATGTTACCTATTACTAATTTTCACACCATATTAAGTGCTTAAGCATCTTAAACAATTAGCAGTTCTCTTCCGCCCCCTTACAAGTACCAGTTTGCCACTATCCTAGGATTAAAGAAATCCATAGCTAGTCATATATAAATCCACTGATATATTTTCATTATATACTTAAAATCAATATGATTTTGATTTCATATAATTTAAACAAATAACTATGTGTGCCTAAATAGTAAATTGTTTCGATTTGTTGGGTTTTGAAATTTGAAACAGTAATTATAATGTATGTGATCTTCTTGGGCTTATTTTTTTATTTTGCATTGCTAATATTCATCAATGTTATCACATATAGTTCTATTTTATTCCTTTTTTACATTATTACATCATTACATATTCAGTGATTAAAAATCGGAAAGCTTATTCTTCCTTTTATAATGTTATAAAATAAATAAAATAGATTAACCACCTCTATATTATTTGCATGTTGGCTGCTTTTAGAAATATACTTTCATTGTGCATTCTGCTTATTATTAATGATTGCTTTAATATGTCCCAATGTATGTGTTAACATATGATTTGAATTTTCTAAAGTCAAATTTGACTGACTTTGCCAACTGAGATATATATGTCAAAAATTTTTCATAAGCTGAATATGTGAAATTGCCACTCCAAGGTTGACAAAAAATATTGACAGCTGAGATCAATAAAAGCATCTGTCAAAAGATATAACTAACATTAATTATATTTTATTTTCTCAGTTTACGCTGAGAATAATGAGCTGATCAAGTTACTTTGCAAGTGTAGAAAGTAACAGATGAAAATCAAAATCATTTGACAGGCCTTATTAGAACACTTTTGGGTATACTTTTGAGAAAGCAAACAACTACTGACTGAGAAATAACAAATCTCTTGCAAAATTATTTTACAATATTTCTTATTCTTTACTTTCAACAACACTGGAGGTAACCTGATCAAATTCTCAGTTTGCAAAGCATTATAAATAATTTTTGGCAATAAATTACTATATAATCTTAAACAGACAATGCTGAAAGAATATCAAAAATTGAGTTACATTCAAACAAAATTGTTTCATTCTTATCTACTGATTAAGGTAAGCAAGATTTTTCAGTTAATGTTGTTAAATTGGAAAATAGGAGTTGAATTGATGTTGAATATGTTAGCAATAATATTATAGTTATATTTGATAACTTTTTAAAAGTTTCATTCGTCTCATTAAGATTTAGACTTCCAATACTTTTTCTTCATTATTAATGATTTATCAAAGTCTATAGTAAATTTGTGATGTTTTGATATTATGTCCTGATAATGATTATGATAGTAAACCAATCCAGAACACATTTTATAATACTTGAAGCCAAATGGTCCACAGGAAATCAAAATATTAGGCATGCTTATCTGCATATTTTCACAGATGAGGAAAGCATAATATAAATTTTAGTTCAAGGGGATAGAAGATGATGTAAAACATCCAACTATTAAATAATACATGTTTTTTATTGTTTCAATGGATGATAGGGGTTAACACTTCGTAACACACAAGTAAATACATTTTAAAAGAGAAATAACAGTTTGGTTTTTTAAAGTCAACATTTACAATGTTCCAGAAATTAAAGCTTTTGTTCTATAGCATGATGAAAACTTTAACGTCAAATTAAACTGTATAGGAGAGTACATATGTTTTCAAAATCCTTTTTGGGGGTTGACAAGCAAAATAGTTAAAAGCAAACCAGTCTAAACAGTGCAAGTGGATTGAAGGAACTCTAGCTCTTCCTATGCAGCTGAACGTCTCCACACGCTGAGACTGAGTGGGAAACAAACTGAAGAAGATACAGTGTGGATTTCAATTATTCTTTAACCTCAATCAAAATGGAAATTTTGTGTTTGGACTTTTTATTTTTCATTGTAATGATAATTTGAAAGGATATTGTTAAAATTAGAGCACTTTTATTGGCTGCCATGGTATTATATAAAATAATTGTATTTTGTTGCATAAGCTTTTCTGTAACTTTAAGTAGTTGCATTGGACAGCTAGGCTGGTTATAATTAACAGTCTCTTATGCCAGATAGATACAGAGTTAATGTAATTAATATCCATCTCTGTCCCATTTCCGAGCAATCTGAAGGCAAAAGCTAAGGTGCCCATTGTTGCTTCCAGGAAAATATGCATTCAAATGCTAGTTTTTGAAGCAGTGTTCCACATAGGTGGGAGGAAGATTATCCTAATAGGATTATGATTCCCCCCCCACTCCACCCCCCCAACAAGAAGAATCAGCTCCAAATTGTTTGACTAAAAACCCTCAGCATGATGTAAGTTGTTGAAAGTTAAAAAAACAACAGCATCCTCTACATCTCTCATGTACCATGTTCTCAACAAATACCAAAAAGAAAATTCCTGAATCTCCTGGAAGTACAAAGAAGCTTCTTCCTCTCTTCAATTCTCACAGGCTTCTCAATAAAAGCAGAGGAATTAATTGGTTTTTGAAATAGCAAGAGTCTGCCATCTGTCTAGATTGCATTTCCTTACTTTGGAAGCTTAAAGCCATAAAGACCACTATTTACTTCTCTTTCCCTTTTTCTTTCTTCTTTCTTTTTTTTTTTTTTTTTTGAATGTCCTAAATTGTTTATTAGATATGAAGTTTGCAAAGTTTACTTATATCAGGAGTAACAGTGGAGCTGGAGAGTATGGTGCCTTCTCCAAGCTGCCGACGAGAACCACAAATGTGTGGCGGAACTTACGGCCCTTTCCAAGACCATGGCTCTTTCGGGCTGCAGATGTCAGCCCACGCGTCTCCCTGTGCTTGTGGACTGGTTTGGAGAGCCACTGGGTGTCAGGATTTCTTCCGATAGCTTTATAGAGTGGATCAATAAGCTCAAAACTTTTTATGTGGAATCTTCACCAACCCAGTAAGAATTCAGGTCTGTTAGAGCCCCACAGTGTCCTCCAGCTTGCTCCTCTGCAACAGACTGAAGGCTTGGAGCAAATTTCAGCTGGTTAACACTGTGAGGGACAGGCTCGCCCTAAGTTACACTCAGGAACTGGGCGTTTTTGGCCACCAGGACGGACACGAATCCTATATATAACGTAACCTTGCTTGTCCTTGTAGCCCAGTCGCTGCTCTTTATTGGGGCGGGGCAGGGGGGACCTGTGGAGAGCAGAGAGCTGGTGATACTACCAGCAGCAGACTCTTGAAAGAAAGCGCAGGACATCAGGCTGCTTCTTTCTCTATAACTCCTGGATGTACTTACATACACCCATCTTGGCTCACTGGATAGCTGCCGCCAGACGGCAAGCCTCTTTCCCTTTTTCATGAAGCTGACTAATAAGGTTTGGCTCTGTGTCTCCACCCAAATCTCATCTTGAATTGTACTCCCATAATTCCTACGTGCTGTGGGAGGTACCCTATGGGAGATAATTGAATCATGGGGGTGGTTCCCCTATACTGTTCTCATGGTAGTGAATAAGTCTCACAAGATCTGATGGTTTGATAAGAGGAAACTCGTTTCACTTGGCTCTCAGTCTCTCTTGTCTGCTGCCACGTGAGACGTGACTTTCACCTTCCACCATGATTGTGAGGTCTCCCAGCCACGTGGAACTCTGAAACCAATAAACCTCTTTCTTTTGTAAATTGCCCAGTCTCGGGTTATGTCCTTATCTGCAGCCTGAAAACTGACTAATACACCAACCGTGATCCTAAATTCAACTCTGCCAACTCTCGACATACGAAGTTAACAACAGTATAATTTGGACAGGGATCAGTCTCATCCTGAACCAATTTGACCAGTAATAAAGCTGGTATTTGGGATAGAGATAGGCAGTATTAATTTGGAAACTTAACTATCAAAGAAAGTATTTTATGCATTTGATGGAGGGTGAGGAGAGTGTAAAAACTGAGAATTGTTATGAATAATTTCCAGGGTTGGCCTGAGCAAATGACATGCATGTAGGTTTATAGTATTTACCAAGCTCAAGAAGCATGAAGAAGAAATTGTTTTGGGGGCATGTCTAGAGCCTAATATGAACATGTATGTTTAGAGAAATCATGAAAATATCCAAGCAGAAACCTTAATAAAACATACACACACAAATGCACAATACAATAGACCAATTTTGAACTCAACCCTGATCTCTCTCTGAGATTTCTCTATTTAAGCATTTTAAAGTTTTACCTGTCACCTTTGTCCCTTCACTGAAGCAGGTGAGACTTGAATGATATGAGTGTAGTTCAGACAGACTTCTGCCAGTTTTGCCATATGTAAAATGGTAAGTTACTGTGAAGGAAGAAGAAGGATTAGTGTTCATCTATTATTTTGCTATGGAGCCTCAGGCTCTATATCTGTACAGTGCTGGCTTACCTCTGACCCCATCACTCTTTCTCTATACAAGCCCAGTAAAGACCACGCCAAATTATTATTTGCTTGTACTCATTTATCTTATTTGCATATATATATATATATATATCCCACTTAATTGTTTGGTCTTTTCACCACTGGGATTTAGGCTCCATACACATGGACAGAGATTCTGCCTGTTTCCTACAACAATTAATCACAAACACAACTTACAGGATAGGACAAATGCTTGAGAGAATAAATACTCCATTCTTCATAACGTGCTTATTTCACGTTGCATGCTTGTATCAAAACATCTCATATACCTCATAAATATATATACCTACTATGTACCCACTAAGTTTTTAAATAATGATTTTAAAATATTTTATTATTTAAAAAAGGAGGAAGTCTGAAGGTGAAAACTAATTTTTTTAATTGCAAACACCTAAAAGGGTAACTGTCACAAAGTCATCAATAAATATTTATTGACTCACTCGATGTCTGCTTGTCTTTAGCCTTAATAACCTTGATGCAAGCACACAGGTTATTTTGATGTTTTCTAAATAATACTAGCTGCAAGTAGCCACACATAAACATATGGGCTAAGTAACAACAAAGGGGAAAATTTAAACACTTATAAAGATATTTTGAATGTCTCAAATGAAAGTTACCTTTTATGTTAATGTTCACATTCAGCAAGACCTTTTATCTCGCAGAATCTGATCTGATTCTTCACTCATTTCTTTTTTGTCCTTCTATAACTGAAATTCAATACAGTCAAATCTTTCTACCCTGCTCTTTAGTCCATGTTTTGAGGTCCTGAATTTGTGTTTCTTTTTATGAAATAATTATTCTTAAACCCCGTCTCTCTTGCGCTTGATTATAAAAAGCAAAACAGACTCCAACTTTGGTGATAATTACTTGTATTTTACTGAATATTGTCAGATTTATCTAAATCTTTGAGGGAACTACAGCTATGACCTGATTGACAGAGGAAGTCACTTTTACTCCCACCCAGACTATTCGATAACTATTTTTAATCACCTTATCAGTAAATAGAAATTCAAATTGTGAATCGGAGAGGAAAAAGGTCTTTAATAAGACTTCTCACACAATGAATCTGAGACATGTGTTCAGAGGAAAACAGAACAGGAAAGAAATCTTTTATTCTCTTTATCTCCATTATTTCATTTGAATACTTTTTCCTCTCATCCTGGAAAGGATCTGCATATGAAGCAAAAAACCCAATATAAAACATTACACTTATGACAGCAATGAGAGTTGCACTCCCAATACAGGACTTCTGTGACTAGAAAACACATGATTGCTGGTGAACCCAATCCTGAAAGATGGTGTCTTAGATTATGGCCACAGTGACAACACGGATATGTGAGGCCATGATTCAGAAAATGCTAATAAAACCAGGTAAAGTAAATCTACAAGAATTCAATTTTCAAAAGATAGAGGAAGAATAACAAAAGGAAAGGAGAAATCAAGGAAAGGCTAATATTCCAAGTAAGAGCTGACATATTAATGGGGCAAAGGAGAATATATCCTAGGAAACCAATATTTAAGGGAAGGGAAGCAAGGAAAATAGCGCCTCAGTGAAGAACTTACCCACACAGCTCACAATGAAGCAAGCACTGAGGAGTGCAATGAAAATCCCAGCCACAGACCAGTGTTTCAGGGACCACCAGCCTCTTTTCTCTGTTCAATCAAGAAGACAACAAATGCAGTTACCAGGGGACCAGGGAGCCAAAATCCCCAGAAAGCTTGCAGTAATAAACAAATTGGATGAAGAACCTTAGAGCAATCAAAAACTTAAAGCAAAAAGAGATCTTACAAACTCCCTTAGAATAAATAACCAGGTAGTAGCTCTGTAGCCCAAAAGAATCCAGGTAAAACACATGCTCAGTCGACTGGAATTTCCATATCTTTGTTCTTTCTTCTTAACTATTATGTATTTCCATTTATTTTCTTTCTCAAAACATCACTTTTGTCTCCCATTTCTCATAACCCTGTATTGACATTTGGTTTCTTCAGTATATCCAAGAGATATCTGCACTCCCGTGTTTATCACAGCACTATTCACAGTAGCCAAAACATGAAATCAACCTAAGTGTCTATCAACAGATGAATGGAAAAAGAAACTGTAGTATAATGTATACAACGGCATATTATTCCATCATAAAAAAGAACAAAATCCTGCCATTTGCAACAACATAGATGGGACAGGAGGACACCATGTTAAGTGAAATGAGCTAGACACAGAAAGACAAACATTGCATGTTCTGACTCATATGTGGAAGCTAAAAAATTGATTCGTGGAGACAGTGAATAGAATGGTGGTTACCAGAGGTCAGGAAGGGTAATGAGGAAGAGAAGATAGAGAAGGGTTGCTTCCTGGGTACAAAAATACAATTAGATAGAAAAAATAAAATCTAGTGTCCCTTAGCACAGTAGGACAATTGTAGTTAACAATTTTTTTTTGGCATGGAGTCCCACTCTGTCATCCAGGCTAGAGTGCAGTGAGGAAATCTTGGCTCATTGCAACCTCTATCTCCCGGGTTGAAGCTGTTCTTCCTATCAGCCTCCTGAGTGGCTGGGATTACAGGCACATGCCACCATGTCTGGCTTACTTTTGTCTTTTTAGTAGAGACAGGGATTTCACCACGTTGGCCAGGCTGGTTTGGAACTCCTGACCGCAAGTGATCCACCCACCTCAGCCTTCCAAAATGCTGAGATTACAGGTATGGGCCACTGTGCCTATCCCAACAATAATTTATTGTATATTTCAAAATAGCTAAAAGAGATTTGGAATGTTCCCAACACAAAGAAATGATAAATATTTGAGATGATGGATAATCTAATTTTCCAGATTTTATCATTACACATCATATTCTTGTATCAAAATATCACATGTACCCTATAAATATGCACAACTTTTGTATCCATAAAAAATTTTAATAAAAAAATTTTTAAACATTATTCATCGACATGCAAAGGATTGAAGCTAAAGTCAAATTTTCATGCATTAAAAATGGGAAGCTTTTTTCTTACAAAAAAAAAGAGAAAAGAAAGTACAAAAAAAATCTCAGGGTAATTGAAAAGAATGCTGCTGTCTGGATTTCAAAATTAGTCAGAAGACTTTTAAGAGCAGCTATCTAATAATCAATACTTTCCCTGTTTATCTTCTATCATGTAAATCTTTTCTGTCTCCCTAAACTTTCAATAAAATCTAATACAAATCTCCCAAAAAGTATTTGCTTTCTTATTCTTTCAAGTGCTTATGGCTCTGAATAATTACTCTTTCTTTCAAATTCCTTTGGGTCTACTACATCTGTCCAATCACTAGCTCTTCAATCTGTTCTTTAGCTACTTCTCTCCAGGTGATCTTATTACATCATACACTTCCTCCTCTGAAACTGAGAAAATACTCGCCTGTACCTTGAAGTTGCCGCTCTTGCATCCTTACACAGGCTCCCTGTGTTGAGAAGGTCCAGGAACCTTTGTATCTCTCTCCCTAAAGATGTTGCGCAGAGACCCAGCTTCATTTAAAGAAGCCAGAGCTCAGAGACAAACTGCTACACACTCACTCATAGGACTAAGAGACTTCCAATATTAAGTGTACCTCAAAAGAAGAAGTCACAGTTACAACTAAAGTTTCCAGTGATTTCAATACATGGGGGTGGCGGGGGGGTGGAGAAAGAGGAATTAAGAAACATATTGAAAACCATTCGTGAGAACTTTGGCAAGAATACTTAGATCATTTCTTCAGTTCCTAATATAAAATTTCTCTCTCTGATTCCTATTCATTCTGGCATGCAAAATAGAACATTTTATATCCTCTGAAAGAAATCTATTTGGAGACCTTGTTTAAATTAAGTACTCCCTAGCTAAAGTTTACACTGGTTGCTTATTTTATGCAAGCCTTAATCCATGTGTTAAACAGCGCCCTAGGAAGTAAGTACAAGTCTGATTGAATGGATATGGTTTCAATATGAAGGATAACATAGTAAATAACAAAACCTGTGAACATTGTTAAGGAATGTAAACAGACTGCAAAATGAAACATTCTGAAATCAGTCTGTGTAGGTGATGAAACATCCTTACTGCATCAAGACTAATACTAGGCAGATGTCAGTGATATTTTGTAGTCTCCCTGACTAGGTGAAAGGGAGCTGAAGTGATATAAAATCAGAAGCAGGCTTCATAAATTTGATATTGTAGCACAGAAAATATAGTTAGTTTTCTTGTCCTCATAGATTCTTAATAGAGACACTCTCCTGAAAACAAAAGTTAGAGAAACAAGAGAAAAAACAGTTGTTTATTAATGTGTGCTGTACCCATCACTGAGGAGAGAACTCAGTTCAAATACTCATCTCTTTCAAGGCAGTGGCTTATAGGCTTTGCTTAAATAGTATTTTAACAAAGAGCCATAAATCTTATGGGGTGGTGAGAAAGGAAAAATCCTTTTTATTTGAGAAATGTGGCCCCTTGAAAGTATCAAGTCCAGAGTTGAATCATGAGAGAGACGTGACAAGAGTCATGCCTCACTGCCACCTTGAGCTCAACAATTACCTCCTGAAGCCACTTGTTATGTGGCTTCTAAACTAACTGAACCCTTCAGTTTAACAGTGTATAGCCAATTCCTAATCAATGTGGTTTCTGTAAACCAATGATAATTTACTGAATAACTTTTGAAAATCACTCCCTCTCCTGACTCATTCCTTTTTCACTTTTTATTTATTTTTCCATAAGTTATTGGGGGTACAGGTTGTATTTGGTTACATAAGTAACTTCTTTCTTTATTGGTGATTTGTGAGTTTTTTTGCACCCATTACCCAAGCAGTATACACTATACCATATTTGTTGTCTTTTATCCCTCATCCTCTCCCATTCTTCTGTCCACTTCCCCAAAGTCCATTGTATTATTCTTATGCCTCTGCATCATCATAGCTTAGCTCCCCATATCAGTGAGAAAATAAAATGTTTGGTTTTCCATTCCTGAGGTACTTCACTTAGAATAACAGTCTCCAATCTCATCCAGGTCAGTGCAAATTCTGTTCATTCCTTCTTATGGCTGAGTAGTATTCCATCATATATTTATACCACAGTTTCTTTATCCACTTATTGACTGATGGACATTTGGGCTGGTTCTGTGATTTCACAGATTCTTTTGTTTTTTTCTTTAAAATCTTCAGTCTTTCCTTTATTCTCCAGTCCACTTACCAAGGCAACTTGGAAGTGTTTTCCCAAGAAGCTGTCCTCAACCTTGGCCCAAATAAACTCTGTATTAATGTGACTTCAACTACTTCCTTTAGGATGACAGTGAAAAGACAAAGAAGAGAGTATCTTCAGGATTCCAAAAGGAAATGAAACAGGAAGACATTTTTATGGGAAGAGTAATGTCTGCTTTTAAATCCTTTTACAGGTATTGTAAAGGAGCTAATCCTTAGCAGCGAAAAGTGGAAAGAAGGGCAGAAAGAACTTCATCTCTGCAAATTGTTGTTCTGCCATCAGGCAAGCAGAAGGAGGGGAAGAATGTTCTCCTACATTGCTACCTTTTTCAGCTCAGTAATATGCAGTTACCTTAGAGAGGGTTATTTTTGTTTCCTCCAATCATTACCCAAGGGCTTTCAAACACTTCAACATTTACATACAGTCTCTAAAATGTAGATCACTCTATTAACATCACAAACATTTCCACATTCTCAAGTAAACAGTCTTAAATACAAGAAAATCTATTAGGAATATTGAACTTGTGATATAATAAGAAACATGTGTATTTCATTTTTGTTTATTACAGAGCTTCTGAAACCCTAAAACTACCTGGTTGACAGAAATGAGAAGAGCATCTTTTATTATAATATTTGGGTTTTGTCCTCAGCTTCTCAATCATGTTCTAGAGTAATAAAGATGCAAGAAACATCTTATGTTATCTATTTGTTTTTTGTTCCCAGTTTCTGAAATAGCTCCAGGGCAATAAAGATGAAAGAAAAAAATTAATGATAGTTACCTAGTTAAACACTAAAAAAAATTTTTTTAAGATGAAAAGAGTGTCTTTTATTATTCATAACAAGACCCTTTATCCAAGCCGGGTGCCTATGCTCATGAGGTCACTTTTGATGTCCCCCAAGACAACGTTAGGATGGGGTTGGTTGCTGAGTTCAATCACTAATGGCTAATGATGTAACCAAACATGCCTTCATAATAGAACCTCCATAAAAACTCTAAACAATGGGTTCAAACTGAACAGGGATTTTTAAAATGACAAGAGAGTTATAGCTACAACCAGTGATGAAATGGACCTTGAGAAACAGGATAAAGGCTCAGAAAACTTCCCCAATAGTTAATTTGAGATACATTTGATCATAAAAGAACAAAGGAGGGGAGGACTCAAGATGGCGCTGTGAGAACAACCCCGGATTGAAGCTCTCGCTGGATGCGCGGAGAGGGTGAGTCGGGGACGCATTTCCAGATGGATCTTAGTTGCCCACAGAACGGGGAAATTCCCAGGTATAAAAGAGATGTGGGACGCCAGGCGGAGGTCTTGGCTGGAGTAGCCAGCAGCCGTTGCGGCTCCGGCCCACGCTGGAGCGCAGAGGCGCTCCACAGCACTCCATACAAAAGCACACTGTTACGGGTGCCCTGTTGAACAGGCAAACTGAGACCTGGGAGGGCTAAACTTAAGACTGAACAGGACTTGGGCAGTGAGCCAGCCCAGGAAATCCCAGGTACAAAGCGTTTGGGCTAGCGCAGTACGACAAACAAAACGGCGATTCCAAACCCTCCCTGTGAGGAGGTTTTCTTAAAGCGCAGCTCCGTGGGGGAGGGGCGTCCGCCATTACCGAGGCAATCAGCCCCCACTGAGGTACACGCCCATTGCTGACGTGGCCTGCTGTTGCCGAAGCAACCCAGTACAACAGAAAGACTGCGCTACAGGGCATAGCCCGTGGCAACAGGGCGGAGACCACAGCAGAAGGGCAGAACCTGCAGCAACAGGGTGAACCTCACACCAGCAGAGCAGAGCCTCGGCAGGCAAATAGTGATTTGACTGCCTCCTAGCTGGGCAGGACAGCGGGGCAGGACAGCGAGGCGGACACTCAAAAGGAAAGTCTCAACCCCTCCCTGCCCCAGACAGAGCATCTGAGAAAAAAGGGTTTTTTTCAGCCTATCAGCCCTGAATGAACAACAGGGCTCACAGCTCAGCAATTGAGCTCCTACAAAGTACAGACTGTCTCCTCAAGCAGCTCCCTGACCCCTCTATATCCAAAGACTGACATTTGGCAGGCATCATTCTGGGACAAAGATAGCAGAAAAAGAAACTGGTAGCATCCCTCGCTTTTCCACAGCTGCTATAGGTGCACCCCAGACAAGCAGGGCCTGGAGTGGACCTCAGCAGTCATACAGCGAAGGGCCTAGACTGGTAGAAGGAAAACCAAGTAACAGAAATACTTCATCACCAACAATCTGGGTGTCCACTCAGAGACCCAATCGAAAAGTCAGCAACTACGCAGACAACAAGTGGATAAATCCACAAAGATGGGAAGAAACCAGCGCAAAAAGGAGGAAAACACCCGAAACCAGAACACCTCGCCTCCTAGAAAGGACCAAACTCCTCACCAGCAAGGGAACAAAACTGGATGGAGAATGACTGTGACAAAATGACGGAATTAGACTTCAGAAGGTGGATAATGAGAAACTTTTGTGAGCTAAAAGAACATGTATTAAATCAATGCAAAGAAACTAAGAACCTTGAAAAAAGATATGAAAAAAGATTCGAGGAAATGATAACAAGAATGGATAACTTAATTAATTTTGCAAAATGAGAATTGTTGTCTGACGCTCATCTAATTTATATTGTTGTGATTTTATGGTCATAATAAGAAGAAAGAGGGTTTAATTTTTCTTGTATTTGGTTTGCTGGGACATATCATAACCTAATTTTAGTATTTGAAAATAATGAGAAGATGGCGCTGTGAGAACAACCCAGGAATGAGGCTCTCGCTGGATGCGCAGAATAGGTGAGTCAGGGACGCATTTCCAGACGGACCTTTGTTGCCCACAGAACGGGGAAATTCCCAGATATAAAACAAACGCGGGATGCCAGCCAGAGATCTTGACTGGTGTAGCCAGCAGCCGGTGCGGCTGTGGCCCACGCCGGAGCGCAGAGGCGCTCCACAGAGGTCTGCACAAAAGCGCACTGTTCCGGGTGCCCTGTTGAACTGGCAACCTGAGACCTGAGAGGGTTGAACTTGAGACTGAATGGGATTTGAACAGTGAGCCAGCCCAGGACAAAGCATTAGGGGTAGCGCAGTGCAACAAACAAAACTGGATTCCAAACGCTCGCTGTTAGGAGGTTACCTTAAGGCGCAGCTCCGTGCAGGAGGGGCATCCACCATTACCGAGGCAATCAGCCCCTACTGAGGTACACGCCCATTGCTGATGCAGCCTGCCATTGCCGAGGCAACCCAGTACAACAGAGAGACTCCGCTGCAGGGCAGAGCCCGCGGCTGCAGGGCGGAGACCGCAGAAACAGGGTAAACCTCACACCAGCAGGGCGGAGCCCCGGCAGGACAAGACTGCCGCCTAGCTGGGCAG